GCCAATGACGTAGCTACCTCCTCCTCTTAAACTTTGATTCGTTTTATCTAAGTATTATTTTCTTATACGATAAAATAAAAAAAACCGTGTATAATATTTTTTCATTACCTAACTGACTGACTAATTAGATTTTTACTAAGTAATAACTTGAACTACATTTTTGGTACATAGAAATTCATCTATTTAATTTGGCGACTATTAATTTTCTTTAAAAATATTTTCAACTTAACTTCTCCTAATACTAATACTCTTTTCTGACATTTTATTGGATTCAATTTAGTGTAATGACATATTCCTAAATAATTAGAAGACGTTATAGACTAGAATATTCGAATCTACCAGGATTTCGTGATATCGCTAAGAACTTTCCTAGGGATTTCGCGAAATCCCTTGTTTATTCATCTTACTGCGACATTTTATAGATAAGGCCGTTGTATAGGTATCCCCGAGGCTGGCTCTAGTGTCCATGGGGGCGGTGCCAATATTTTACCATCCATACCTTATCCACCATGCTCATTTGCCTGCCCTATTCTATTAATGATTAGTGCAGATAAAATATATTTTAGTTATTTTATGCATTAGCGCCATCTAGGAGCACCAGAACGCTAGTCCTAATTGGTTACAACCGTCAACGCTTAGGCAGCCACGAAATCGTTTACGGTTACCATCGACAGGTAGCGCCATTCTTAATTATAACATATCACCTAACGACTAAAACTAATAACCGATTTTAATCCAAGGTCTATAGGTTGAATTAAATTATTGATATTGGTTTTCTAGGGTTTATTTTATTAAGATCAATCCAGAGATTGATGATTAAGACCGATTATTGCAATTAGCAATAAAACTATAGCAGTCGTACACGTTAGTTTAGTAGTTAGTTTAGTACACGTAATTTTTTCTAGTAGGTGTACTAGAAAAACTAGTTATATAACGTATTTCGACTAATAATAATGAAATATAAAAATACAAAACAAAAAATCATCTTCCAATTGTATTCATGCAATTAGACTCATGAGTCTAGTCTGTCTAATCTGAGTCTAATGAAATTAGGAACTTGAAATTTCCTCTGAGATCCTTTTTTCTTTCATGTGCATAATTTAATAGCAGGAGGAGAAAAGCAAAAAAATAAATAAATATGTAAGTGCAACTTTAAATGATATATAACTTAATAGTAGGAAGTAGATATTTATGTTAACCCTCAGTATTTACGTTAGTTGTGTGCGTAAAGCTCAGATCGATTAATCGTAAGCTCCACCTAGCTTGTCTTCTTTTTGGCGTCATCAAAAATAAGCATCCCTTGTACTTTTGCACTGAAAATTATCCTGGGTTGGTGCTTACCGCAAGCGGGAGGTTAAGCAGTGTACACAGCATCTAGCTGTACCTCAACCACAGATTACGTAATAGATAACCTCAACACAAAACAGCAGCATTTCGAGGCAGTTTTCGGTAAGCAATGTCCAGATGTTGGAACAATTTACCTCCACCCACAGAACATAATATAAAGAAGATTAGAAGGATCTTGAAATGTCAAAAACCGGCCATCAAACGCGATGTTGTTGTGACAGCGCACGAAACTCTGCAAGTAATATAAAATCATGCCTCGTCACCACTCGACACTGCCCCCCCCCCCCTACCATACATTAGTTTTTTACGTTTTTATGAGTGTATGTTAAACGAAGTGATTGCTGTGACGACCAATAACAAATGTTTCAACGTAGTGCGTGATGTTTATTTGTGTGCATTTTCCGAGTAGGTATTGGTCTCTTGCTTGTAGTAAAGTGAAAAAGTCGGGGACAAACGGCGACGCGTGTTCTGACACAAATCAGGAATCTTTCCTAACCTTTTTTATATGTTCTGTGCCTCCACGCCTATCAGAAACTTTTCAAGTAGATTCGCAAAAAGATAAATTACCTCTAGTATTGATTTTTCTATCATTTCTCACTCAAGCCAATCTAGTGTGTTAATGATGCAAAACACAGATATATTGACTGTCCTTTCCCTATGCCCTGCATTCTGTCATGTGTATTATTTATTAACATTTTTCTTTTCTTATTATTTTATTTTATAATACAAAATTAAGAAAAATAAACCTTATGACAAGACCAGTAAGAATGCACATTGCACATACGTCATATATGTTAAATTAAAAATTTTGTGCATGTATTATGATTATAACATAATATTCTAATTGGGGTGTTTGAGGGTGTGCGTTAATTACGTTACATGTTGTATATGGTATATATTATATACACATTTTTTTGTCTTTGTCTAACCATATAACGTTGCTAGCATAGGCATGTAGTTAGCGTCTCTCTTCTAATTCTTCTGTTTTAATTTTTTAAATTAATGTTTTTCTTACTTCCACTATCACACCTTTATTGTCTTTTTATAATTATTTTATTTATGCTGCATCGTACCTGGTGCTGCATAAATGTTATTTCTTTCTTTGTTATTAACGCGCTTTGATTCCACGCCCAAACTGCTGTATATTTTATTTTATCTTGCAATGACTTTTCGAGCCTTGGGTGGAGGTGTCTCACCTCCACCCAAGGCCTGTATAGCCTGTATAGCCTGTATAGCCTGTATAGCCTGAATAGCCTGTAGCAGCGCTCTCGCGCTGCTACAGGCTATTTGAGGCCGCGGTTCGCGCACAGCACGCTCTCTGTCGGAATTCTCATATTGAGAGGTAAGTTTATAATTCTGGAATTATAAATAATTAAGTGTAATGTATAAAAGTCAATAAAAGTCTGGCACTCACTCTCGCCTCCCCCAGACAGGAGGAGACATCGGATGATTTTCCGCCCTTAAAAATACCACACGGCAACAATATGTATTTGTCAATATTTACCAGTGGGTAAACAAGTTCATTAGCAATTTCTATTACCTGAAGTATTTTGGAATTAGATTATTAAACTGTCAAACACCAAGCGGTCACCGGTGACCGCAACATATTGTTCTATAATTGTGTCTATAATGACGGTACTCGACGAGTTAAAAAGACAAAGAAAGTCATTAAACAATGAGTAATTTATAAACGAAATGTAATTAGTAATTACAGATTCAAAATAATTTGTTTGGAATACATGCATACACTATAGATTTTTTAAGCAAACACTTATATTCAGCGTTTTAAAAAAAAATCTGTAATTTCTTTTCGTTTCAAATTAATTTTAATTCCATTTCATTCAAAATGCCATTCATTATTATGGTTACATTTTCTGCTAATGACAAGTAAAAGCATTTGGCAACAAAATTATATAAAAAATCCTTAAAGGTATTAACTTCGATTTACTAATCACTAAATTGTTATTACTGGTTTACAATTTACATTTGGCTCAAAGATCATGACTATATAAATTGGAGCACAATCCTGTCAAATGTTTTAGGTGACTGTGCTTTCATAGATCGCGTTTCTCCAAAATTCTTCAAAATACAAGGCTACACCATGAATCCACCAAACCAACCACCAGCGCCTCATAGTGCGAGTAACGGTTTCGATACATCGATAAACCCAACACCTCCAACGGTAATGTAATAGTCTTATTTTTAAAATTTCTCATTTATTTTTTACCTTCTCTTAATGTTATGTAACTGTCTTTGCTAATGACTATTCTAATAAAAACCTCAGTTTTGTCAGTGCACTTTTAAAACTATATGTACTTCTTTCCGCAGTTTTTGGACTATGGGTTGCCACAACAGACCACTGCACCATTTACAGTGGCTGTCAATTCAGTCCAAGTACAACCAAGACAACCTCACAATGGCTTGATCGACTACCGGACTTGGCTGAATACACAACCTACACAAGTAGTTCATCGGTCAAATGTTCTACCCGTACCAACAAAGCCGAAACGGGTTAGAACCGGATTTACTACTCAACAACTGATTGTTCTAGAGAAATAGTATGCGACTGTTCCGTACTTACTCTGATCTCAATGAATAGAGCTGGCAGAGACACTGCAGCTAACTGAACGAACCATCAAAATATGGTTTCAAAATTGACGCATGAAAGAAAAAAGGGAGAAACTTGAGGGTTCTGAAGACATTCAAGAGCTGATAATTCCCTACCCAAACGAAACCACAAATCAGCAATTAAAACAAAATATTATATTGGAACAACGTCAGTAACTATCCTGTTTCTGCTGTTCGTACAACAAGTAGTTCTTTGAATTCATCTTTAAAAGAACTTGTGCAGGATTTTAATTATGACAATAATCAGCAACACGCAAACGTACAGTATAAACATCCATTTGCACCAACTATACAAGTGCAATCCTCACAAAGTTTGGTATTAGAACAACATAAGTATACTCCTTGGAGGAATGAGGTTACTCAACCTGTTGTTCGTCAAGTGAATTTTCAAACAGGTATTGGTTTGATTTCATCTTCGCAAGGAATTGTTCAGGACTTACAGTTTAATAAACAGCAGCACCCAAACCTACTGTATAGATCAGCTGCAGCTACTGCACAGATGCAGGGTTCACAAAATTTCATCCCGGAATATAACA